AAGGAGACAGTTCAAAGACAAAAGGAGACAGTTCAAAGACAAAAGGAGACAGTTCAAAGACAAATGGAGACAGCTTAAAGACACAAGGAAACAGTTTAAAGACAAAAGGAGACAGTTTACAGACAAAAGGAGACAGTTCAAAGACAAAAGGAGACAGTTTAAAGACAAAAAGAGACAGTAAGCAGATAAAAGGAGACAGTAAAGAGACAACAATGACATATCGAGAGGAGGAGAGTAAAAGGAGACAAAAGGAGACAAAAAGATAAATGCAAGAAGATGATAAAAAGACAAAAGGAGACAGAAATGCGGAGACAGAAAAAGAGACAGTAAATAACAACACGAAGGAGACACTCAGCCCTATATAGCTTCGGGCTGCTGCTGCTCTGCTGTCTCCTTGTGTCTGTTTGCTGCTGCTGCTGCTGCTGCTGCGGCTAGACTCCTCTTTCTCTTTGTCTCTCTCTCTCTCTCTGTATATAACCATCATCGTTCTTGTGTGATCAACCCAACAGTACCTATACCCTCAACCCTAAACCCTACATCCTAAACCCTAAACCCTAAACCCTAAACCCTAAACCCTAAACCCTTACCTTCAAGTGTATCTGCATTGGCTAAGCGCTTGTAGTCGTCTCGAGTAAGAAAGGAGGCCCTCAGCCCCCTAACAATCCCCTCCAGGTATCCATCATGCACATTGAAAAGAGCGATCTCCATCTTGCTGCTGCTGCTGCTGCTGCTGCTGCGGCGGCGGCGGCTGTTCTGTTGCTGCTGTTGCCGTTGGTGCTGTTGCTGCTGCGCAGTCCGCGCTGCAGCAACAGGGGACCAGCTGCTGCTGCAGAGAGGATTTGCGCGTATATAGAACCTGCAGAAAGTACTGCTGCTGCTGCTGCTGCTGCTGCAGCTGCTGCAGCTGCTGCTGCTAGGGTAGAGAGGCTTCGCTTGTGCACCGCAAGGGTTGGTTCTGAAGCTGCTGCAGGACAAAGGAGCGGCGTGCTGCTGCCTCTGCTCTTGCTCCTGCTGCTGCTGCTGCAGCTGCTGCTGCTGCTGCTGCTCGCTGGTCCGTTGTGTATGGGCAGTGCTGCAGCAGCAGGGCCCTCGTGCAGCAGATGAAAGAGCGTACCTACGAAGTTTATTTAATTAATTAATACACATAAAACACCTCTACCCAGCTATTGCTGTTGCTGCTGCTGCTGCTGCAGCTCGCGCTGCGTTGGCTCTGCTGCTGCTGGTCCCTCTGCGCATGCACGGCGCAGGGCCCGAGGCGCTGCTGCTGCTGCTGCTGCTGCAGCTTGCTGCTGCTGCTGCTGCTGCTGTTGCTGCTTCATATTGCTTCTCTAAACACCCAGAACAAATTCTGTTTTTGCTTTTGTATTTACGCTCAACTTCAGGCGAACAGGAGCCTTGTGTGTCTGGCTGCTACTCTTGCTGCGCTTGCTGCTGCTGCTACTGCTGCTACTGCTGCTGCTGCTGCTGGGCTGACCCACGCTGCAGCAAGCCTCTTCTTTCAGGTGTACAAACATTTTAAGCCAAGTATGTTAATGAATGTCTTTGTATTTTTCTTCTGCTTGACTCCGCGCTGCAGCACACTCACGCCTCCTGCTGCTGCTGCTGCTGTTGCTGCTTCGGCTTGCTGCTGCAGAAGACAACAGACAGCAGCAGCAGCAGCAGCACCACCACCACCAACCGTGTATAGGAGTTAGCAGCTGAGTGTTTTACGTTAATCTCTCTCTGCTTTGCGCACCTGTGCACCCTCTGATAGCATTGCTGTTCCCGCTTCTGCTGCTGCTACTGCTGCTGCTGCTGCTGCTGCTGCTGCTGCTGCTGCTGCTGCTGCTGCTGTTTGCAGGGGGGATGAGCGGGCAGGGGTTGAGCCTCCCACCCTCTAATGCGTCTCTGAGGGAGGAGGAGACAGCAGAAATGCAGGGAAGAGACATGGCCTTAGAAGTCATAGTCGGTGAAGACACAAAACAACTCAGCGTAAGTCTTGCTGCTGCTACTGCTGCTGCTGTTGCTGCTGCTACAGCTACAGCCACATCCGCATCCGCAGCATCAGCAGCAGTAGCAGCATCTGTGTCTGGTGTTGGTAGTGGATACGAGACTGCTGCATCATCAGATTTTGTGCTGCACCTGTCTCCTTATCCCGCTGTCTTAGCGTCTTCAACAGCAGCACAAGCAGCAGCAGCAGCAGCAGCAGAAGTGTGTAATATGTTTGCTTTCAGGTGAAGTGCAGCAGCGAGGTTGGTTATGTAAAGCTGCTGCTGGCGCAGCAGCTCGGCTTAGAGCCTCGGCGTCTCCGTCTGTATGCGAAGAGAGGCGAGGGAGAGAAGCTGCTGCTGATAGACCCGATGTCTCTCTGCGATTATAAAGAATTAGCAGCGCCTGCTGCTACGGTGTATGCGGAGATACAACAAGAATAAAACAACAGGGGCCCCCTATTATAGAGGGGGGGGGGGGGGGGGGCCCCCT